TTCCATGAGTAAAATGAAACACTACTATATAGCTCTCTCTATATATTAGTAGTGTTTCATTTTACTCATGGAAAAATGTGGATTTGGGGTTACATTTTTAATCCAAAAATTGGGGATTTTTTTTTTTAAATCAGAGAAAACCAAGATCCCTGGTTATAGCAGTGGTGGGAGGTAAGAAGCAATGCAATGTGGGATGCCTGGAGGACCAACCAGCCTCATGTCAGTGCTGTTCACACAGAATATATACCTGGTTCACACTGAGCCATTTCAAAAGGGTGCCTGGTTTGCCCAATATGCTTTTGAACCATGCCAGGCAGATCAAACTGGTTTAAAAGGTTTGTGCATCAGTGTCCGTTTCAGATCCGAACCAGGTTTGTGTCACGGGTGTCCTTACCCCGAGAAATCAGCAAGGCGGGCAGCAGCGCAGGCTTGAAACAGGTGAGCGGCCTAATGGATTGGCAGAATCCACAGGCACGAATGTGCATCCCAGATTGCAGCCCATGCACCCCGTCTCCACCGCTCCTCTTAACCCTGCAAGCTGGATTTAATCATGGACAGATGGGTCTATATTTCCTGCAAACCTCCTGATGATGCATGCACACCGCCGGAGTCCTAGCATCATAGGTAAAAGTATAGAAAGTGGAGTGGGTTGCTAGACAGCCCAACTGAGTACACCAAATTCCACAATCACAGCCCAGTGCTTTACAGGCCAGCCTTGCCTTCATCTCTACATTGCTATCCAGCTGCAGTACACTTCATGCCAATAAAATATTATTCTTCCCTGAAGAGTTCAGAGTCTTTAGGCTTCGTATTGCAAACACTTAACTACTGCAAGCAGAGCTGATTATTGGGCAGAGATGTAACATGCAGGGGTTTTGCCCTGGGCAAACCCCGTAGGATAGCAGGGCAGGGAGTGGAGGAGAGGTGCCATTGAAGGGAGGAGGGGTCGGGGTTCAAAGTATGTGTGTGTGTGTGTGTGTGTGTGTGTGTGTGTGTGTGTGTGTGTGTGTGTTAAGGGGGGTACACAGGAGTCCTACCCATACCAGGGACTGTTTAGTCCCTGGGTGCTGCTGCCCTTGCAGTCACGGCCACATGGTCTACATGCCCCGGCTGTTGCTCTTCTAGCAGCAGCACGGTGTCCGTGAATGTGGCTACATCTGCAAGAGCAATGCTGTAGAGCTGCTTTTTGCTGCCAGGGCATGGACTCCATGGAGGTGGGGGTGCAATTCGGGCACCTCTCCTAAATTGGCACCTGAGACCCCTTCCCTACTGCTGCAGTTGACTCCTGTCTCCATGATCCCCTTGCAAGTCAGGAGACAGTCAGCCCTGACCTTCTGGACTTGCACTCCTGCAAACGAGAGGAAAATCTGGCCCAGTGACTTCAAACTATGGGAGGATTTATGTGTGCCCAAGGACACTGATAAATCAAGCCATCCCGAGCCAATTGTGCCACCCTCAAAATGAATGGGCTGTTACTGTTACTAATAGCCTGTTAGTCTCCCTGACTCTAGTAGCAAGCCATTTGGGAAAGGAGAGATTGCTCAATCCCAGCAAAAGCAGCAGCATCTGACCCCAGATTATTTATGGGGGGAGCAAAGGGTTAGCAGACAGGTGGAGCAAAGGAAAGGATTGAGCTTCATGAGATGAGGCTCTCCTCCAGCAATCCCAGGGACAAAACAAATCCCACCCTGCTGACAGGGTGATTGATAGGGGTTAAGGGACTTCAAGAAAGTGGAAAAATCACACGGCAAACTCACACAATGGCAGAGGAGGAAACAGGGAACTCCCTAAAAACAGACACATCACATCACTGCAGAGCTCAACCAGGGGAAGCGCTGACTTACCGCAGGGCAGCAGAGTCAAACAAAACCCCGGCAGACAGGAGAAGTCAGAGCTCGGTTATGCCAGTGTAAATCTAGAGGGGTGCCAGGGAAGGCCGGGGAGTTATGCAGCGTGCGACCGGCGTCTGTGAGATGACAGGAAAGACAATTTTGTGGTCTGGGTCCTGGCTGGAGACTCAGGAGAGCTAGTTTCCTTCTCTGGCTCTGTCACAAGCTCCCTGTGTAACCTCAGGCATGTCATGTACTCTCCCCAGCTCCCCATCTGCAAAAGAGAGGATACCCCCTCCTTCACCGGGTCTGTTTTGCTTGTGAGCTGCCTGAGGCCACAGCTGTCCCTGCCTGGCATATAATGGATGGACAGCCTCTAGCACAAAGCGGGCATGATCTGAATTTAGACCTCTCGGCATTACCACGATGGGTTGCCACTTTGCACCAAGTTTTCAAAGCTTTTGAGGTGCTGCCATCACTGCCATCCCCAGTGCAACGGAGCCTGCTTGGGACCTCATGCCAGCAGAGATCCACGAAGTTGACCCAGGACCCCCTGATTCACACCAACATAACTGAAGAGCAGGCTCTCACCCTCTTGCCGCAGTAGAAATTGTACCCAATATAAGGTCCTAAGGCAACCTCAGTTACCAGAGGAAAGGCACCTCATGGTGATTTAATGTATATGTCCTTGTTTGCAAGAAGGAGGGAGCTATTTCCCTTTTATAAATGGGAACAGAGGACTAAAGCCAAGCCATCACTTGCATCTGAGCTACCGACACTGTTGAATTCATTTGGACTTACCTGCCTAAATACCTTAGAGGATCCCAAAACCAGCTGTAATAATGGTCTGGAAGCCCATGACAAAGTAAAGATTTAAGCCCCGATGTCCTCTGGACCTTTCTTCTTCTCTGTTGCCTTCCTAAAAAAATTGCTTCGGTCTGACCGCAAGATGTTGGTATAAATAAATAAATAAATAAATATATATATATATTACACACACACACACACACACATATATATATACACACACAGATACATATACATATACATATACATATATATATATATATATAGTCTTCATCTTCTTTCATCAGTAGAATTCTGTAGAAATTCAATGGAGTTTTACTTTTGTGACATCATGGGCAGGTGAGCCAATCAGTATATGGCTCTGGCATATGACTTAACTGCATTTTGATTGGTCAAGGATGTCATCTAGAGCTTTGGTCACTATTATGACCCTGCCGGTGGTTGGGCTCTGTTCCTAGCAATAGAACTGAGCTGCCAACAAACATCCTAGAAGTAGCAGGTCTCTCTTCGCTCCTCCGTTCCTTGCTCTCTGGGACAAAGGGGTGTTGAGGGTTGACTTGAAGCAGCACCTCTATAGCGAAGTCATGGTCTTGGACCACAACCCTATGCTACAGCCAAAACAGCAGGCTACTGCCATTGAGAATAAATACCAGCCAAAATCAATGCTTCCCATGGAAGAGAAAATGGTGCTTGAAAGGAAGGTGACGGGAACAGTCAAATGGTTCAATGTCAGAATGGGCTACGGCTTCATTACAAGGAATGACGATAAGAATGACTTGTTTGTACACCAGACATCTATCAAGAAGAATAATCCCCGAAAGTACCATCGCAGCCTTGGCGATGGGGAGACAGTGGAGTTCGATGTGGTTCTAGGAGATAAAGGCCTGGAAGCGGCCAATGTCACCGGCCCCGGCGGCATGCCCGTCTATGGCAGCATCTATGCTGCAGACCGTCGCAAATGTCCCAAGAAGGGTCCGGCTACCAGTTATCAGCCGAGTTACGACATTCGGGAGAGTATGCCGAAGAGTCAGGTGGATGCTCCAGATGATGAGGGCCGTGATCAGCAGTCCATGTTTTACACCCTGCACAGAGCCTTCAGGATTTTACCCCGCTATTCCAACTCACCTCTGCAAGCAGACGTAGTGCCTGCTAAAGCCCGAGTTGCACAAGTTGAACAAAGAAAACCAATGAAAGAGGGCATATGCCAGGACATCCAGCAGCTTTTTGGCTTAGGGCAGCACTGTCTGAGACAGCCTAAAGAGGAAGGCCATAAAGAAGCTAAGGAGAAACACCAGGCAAGTGAGACCATAGGGCAGATGGCAAGTCAGCTTTGCTACTGTCCTATCTACAGTTATCTACACAGACGCCCCAGGAACTCTAAACCCCAGGGTGGGAAAGAGGGTAAGGAGACCTCAGGATTTCCAAATGAAGACATGTCACCATCAGACGCCAGGAACATGGGGCTCTGCAAATGCCAGCGTATGACAGGTACTATCATCCACTCATCTTGCCCTCCTTGCACTGTTCAGTCATCAAATGAGAAGAAATAAGAGCGCACGGACCTTCAGGAATAAGGACAACGACCTTATGTACTTGCTGCCTTCCTCACTGCTGTCTGGATAACTCAATATTTACTGATACATCAAGAAGCTTCCATCTTTCCTTCTTAAATCCTGCCCGTTTCCCTTTTGGGAGCAAACTAAAAGCTGAGAGGTTGGAAAACCTGCTGCCCAGCTGTCCAACCACACCGAGATGCTTCATCACCTTCATTTTTTAACCTGAGTGAAATGTATCTCCTGATTTCTACCCCCTTCCTTGAAAGATAACAAACTACATACATCCCTTAATAAAGGACTTAAATGTTTTTTGAAAGGATAGACTTTGTGGGACTGTAGATTTAAAGCAAACCCTTTGTAACATAGAGTATGATTTCTTTTTTTTTAATCTTCCACCAACTGTCCAGAAGGATTTTACTGTATATTAGGGCCATAGTCATAGGATAGAGAAAAAAGTAAAAAACCCTTACCTTTCAGTTGAATGAATATACATTACTGATTTAACTTGAATTAGCTGATTACCAACGATGCCTTTTTAAATGTTAGCCTTGACATAGGGCAGCCAACTCTATGTCCTGCATACCACAAGTGGCAAGAGCTGCCTCTCTTTGTGGCACATGGGAGTTTGAGAAGGGACAGGGAGTACAGCAGCAGCTAGGGCAGGGAGCAGAAAACTGAGCAGCAGATCAGGCAGGGGGCACAGGGCAAGGAGTAGAAAGCAGAGCAAAGGATCAGGCAGAAGAAGGGCTCCAAGGCTAATTTATCAGGACTCGTGGTAGAGGTGATATCTTTTCTTAGACCAATTAGATTTTTACAACAACAACAACAAAATTATTATTATTGCAAACTTTTGGGCACAAACACCCGTCTTCAGGCATAGGAGCAGAGATTGTACAAGTTCTCCTGGGTAGAAATGAAAGTTCATATTTCATAGGAGAGTTGAAGGTGTGGTCTAATCTCCTGTTCGGAGCAGTGCATTTTATATGCAGATTGGGCTCAGAGAAAAGTTGGAATAGTCTGTTTACCTTGAAGTTGTTTGGTGGTAAGCAGGATGTAGCCATATTTCCTTCCGGTGATGGCATTTCATATTTTGCAGAGGAATAAAAAGATGGAATTTTGTGCTCGAAAGCTTGCAATTAAAGATTTTTTTCCTGCAAAAATCTAGTTGGTCTAAAAAAGATATCACCTCTGCCACGAGTCCTGATTCCTTTTGCCTCTGGACCAATACAACTACAACCTGGATACCTGAGGCTAATTTACGACACTCAAGGAAGACACAGGGCTAATTTATGACACACCTGCCCAAACATCGGCCCTAACTGTTCTAGACCATCCACCAATGTTTGTTGCAGGGCTCGGACCTTGAGCCATTGCGGAGGTCAGAAAAAAGGTAAAACATGCAAACATCTGTGGCGAGTAGTCCTTTAGTCTTCATAGTCTTTTTGTAATCAGTTGGGCCCTTCAAGGAGCAAGGGACTGTTTTTATGTTTATGATCATTATTTTTTACCTTTTTCACACCTTTCTTCATGGGGTTTGATTCAACAGTCATAATCATGCTGCCCGGTGCATGAAAACCATACATGAGTTGGGCCATGCATATCAGACTATGGGACAAAGGGACTCCTCTTGTGAGGTCTTTATGGAAGTGTTTGTGTCTTCACATGGGCTTAGGAAGTGTCTGTGACACAGTCAGCACTACTGGAATAGAAAGAATAAAGCTTCAATATTTGGGAAGTGGGGAGTGACAAGCTAAGGTGGGATTCCCACAAAAGGGAATTCCTTTTAATCTCTTGTAGCAAAGGTCTAGGATGCAAAAACATATTTACACCAATGTGTTCTGCATTACACTAGTATAAACGTGGAGCAGGCACACAACAGCTAGGCCTATACTAGGGTAAGTAACTGTATTCCCAGATAAAGTGCTTCCTCTGAGGGTCAGAAGTAGCTATACCCTGATATATGGGTCAAAAGTTCGCAGCTCATGGGCATTCACGATGGAATAGCATTTTGCTCAATGCCAGCAGACTACTATTGGTTCCCTCAACTACAGACATTGGCTTTGTCCTGGGATAAACCACTTTATGCTGAGACAAAATGCCGTCATTCAGAAGTCCATGTTAGTTGTCCAGGGATAAATCTTAAGAAGATTCATGGGATAAGAAGTACTAACAGTTTATCCTGGGTCTTAGCAAAGTGTATCCACATGGTTAGTCTGGGATTGGATTATTAAATCAATGGCAGAAAAGTAGCAATGCAGTTCAGCCTCTGATGCGAAGGGTAATGTGTGCACACATGAATCCTGGGACGTTTCTGTTCCAGGACAAACACAGGTACAACTTGTCCAGGGACTGATGCAACATCTGTCCCTAGCCCCAGTGGTAAGAGAGAGTTGGGTGTCTGTATGAATCCTGGGACGTTTCTGTTCCAGGACAAACACAGGTACAACTTGTCCAGGGACTGATGCAACATCTCCCTAGCCCCAGTGGTAAGAGAGAGTTAGGTGTCTGTCTACTCTGTGCAACTTATATGAATATACAAGCTAAGGTCTGTTATATCGCTGCAAATGAACCCTCAGCCACCCCATGATCGGAGGGACCATGCTGGAGGGCTGCAAAGAACCGAGTTATCCATACAGATGAGGTATCTACTGGGTCCAGGGGCTCAAATATAACCAGGTCCTTTCCTTGCTAAACATTTGGAAAAGCCAACATGGTAGGTTTTGAGTCAGTTCTCTAAACAACTCGAACAGAGCGGAAACTGCCGAGCACTGCACAGCGTGGGACTTAGGTTAAAGCTTTGATGTTTACAAAGGAAGTTAGCTGGTATATTCCAAGGTTAAATGGAGGTTAGCCCATCCTGGGAGTGTTTGCACACTGTGTCATCATCAGGTCAGAGCTGGGTTAGCCCAGTTTGCCTCCCAGCTGGGACAGCCGCTCTAGAGAAGGGGTTTTAAATGAAGCTCTATGAAAGAGACTGTGTATAGGCAGCTTGGCATCATGCTGGTCTGAGGTCTAACCCTCTAAGCCAATGTCCAGAGTGAGGGGGAAGGCCAGGGGTCCACTTCTGGGACCTTGCAATGGGGATTGACCCAAGAATAAGCCGGGGTGTGAGGGCACAGCAATTCGACATCTCTCTAGGGTGCCATAGGCTTGAGTCACTTTGAAGACTACTCATGATGACCCAGGTCATCTGGTGAAAGGCAGCCTGATGTCATCCGAGCTACATGGCTAGATAGATACAAGCTAGCACAGTGGACCATCCTGCTGAGACCTCTGACTTTTTTGGCTCTATGACCAAGTGTTATATAGCACAAGAAGAGTCTCCAAGGAAACCAACAGATCAGAGAGGCACTTTCTTCATGATACTAAATACTTGGGGCCAGAGCACAAGTCCCCTCCAAGTCAATAAAACAGGGCCCGACTCCCTGCTTTGGCGTTGGCACTTGGCTGCTTAAGCTGCAAGCTCCTTGGGGAGATGCCGGTTTCCTGACAGACGTGATGACCTTGATTGAAGCCTGACCCAGGAACCTCCTGCATTCAAAGCAAGAGTCATAACTGGAGCCAGGCTTTGAAAGCTTGAACAGGCTGTCCCCCTCTGTGGATGAAGGCTGGAGGGGGGCATGCAATAGGCAGCTGACCACGGTCCATAAAAGAAGGGAGTCTAGGTCTATACTGCTCCCCTTGGGTACTATTGAAATACAAACAATAATAATAAGCAAAGTCAGAAGAAAGAGTCCCTTTGACTCCACTGGGTTTTGGAAGAGGCCAGAGAATAAGTTCAAGGAACTGTCGACTGCTGTGCTATTGAGGAAGGAAGAAAAGCAATGACTGCCCAGTGCTCAGGCTTTTCACCTCCCACAGCACCCATATGCATGCAACATACCTTTCTACCCAACCAAGCAGAATAACCACCTGATCAAGCTGATTCATGGGTTTTAAAAGCAGAAGGATCACTAGGGAGGACCCTAGCGTAACCTAGCCCATTGCTTTCTGCGCAGTTAAGCCTTGTAGCAAAGCCCCCAAATTCCCATATGACAAACGGCACCCTGTCTTGCTTTGAAAAATGTAGAGATGGAGAATCCACTATGCATGGGTGAGAGTTAACTGTTTCTAAGCGCAAGGCCACTCTTGCCAGCCTTGTTCACAGGGACCCAGCCAAAGCCTGCTATTCTGTACTGAGTGCTATGCTGCCACTGAGGTGTGCCAGCATCCCAAAACGGCCGTGGCTGTGCTCTGGGGGCTCATTCCCAAATCATCACTATGAGTTTGAATGACAATAGCACCTAGAAGGTGCAAGTGAGATCAGACTTCACTGTGTCGGGTGCTGTACAAAGACGCAAGTCATGAACGTCCCTGTCCCAGAGAGTTTATACTCTAAACAATTAAGATAGAGGTCAGGAGGCTGGAAGAACAATCCCCTCCCATTTTGCAGATACAAATCTGAGATATAGAAAAGATGAATGTATTGGCTCAGGATCATGCAGGGAGTTTCTTACACAGCTGGGAACCAAACTCAGATTGACTCAGAGATGAGAAAGAGCTGCCACTCCCCTCAGATTTCCCTCCTGATCAGACCTTTGTTCCTGGAACCAAAAGAGGATCCTACTGTGGGATAAATTCAGATGAACTGAGGTGTTATCCCAATCTGAATGCAGGATGAGGTATTTGATTTTCTTCTTTAACACTGCAAGGAGTTGTGGTTGATACCGGCTTCATTCCCAGGGCTTCCTTCAGCTTCATGGA